TTTTCCTGGTTTTTTTCGGGAAAGAAAAGTATTCATCAAGTTGTGGTGACAAAGTGACAAATTCATTTAATATTCTGGTTGATTTTCTATATAAATGATTAATCAAGCTGGTTTGATAGTTTGTTTAGGTCTTGAGTGGCATTAAATGAAACAGAAAACTTCATTACTGCTAATGTATGTTGATTTTGTTCTTACTGTGACATTTAGATATTAAATTAGTTTGATTCTTAACCTTTACGCACTTGAAATAAAATGTCTTGAAACCTTAAATAACTGCAATAAAATGCTGATGGTAATATCTTTAATATTTTACAAAATGCAGCCTTTAATTTCCTCGAACTAAATTTTTTGCTTCGTTCCTGCACTTTTAATTACAAATTATTCAGTTGACAAGCTTCATGCAGTTCGAGTATTTAAGGAATTCAGTCTAAAAGCAATCAGTAAACAAAAAGGGCTCGATACTGCTGACACTGCAGCAGCGAACTGACATCAAATTGAAATCAATGTTAAATGGCAAGTGACAACAGCAGTTGAGGGAAGCATCCGAGGGGCGGAAGTTAGTTAAATATTGATTTTAATTTTCCACATAATTGCAATTAGCTGATGAATGTGGAGCCAGCTGTTGCAATCCTGCCTCCCATTTCCTGCCGCTGTCATCGCCTCTGGGCGGACGGTGTCTGATTCTGATTAAACATGGTGTCGGGGCAACATCAAAAACAGGAACGCCGGCAAAAACAGACATTCAAGGAGGAATCCAGTCGAGCAGCCAGCACTATGATGGCTCGAAGTGGCACAGTGGCTAAGCCAAGATGTAAAATTTAATTTTATTGATCCACCAAGTTACAGAAATTAGATTTAAAACCTTTAGCTGGGGTGTTAAATGTTCCTTAGGTACCTCTTCTTACCATTATGAAGTTTCTAATCCAATTACCTTTATTATTTTTATAATAATATATTAAAGGCAGAATTTTATCATCTTATTGTAGTAAATAAAGTGAGCATTGCATTTACCTGTAGTAGATTAAATAGCATATGAAATTCCTTTAAAGTATATAAGCATAAAATTCATACAAATTTGAAAAGATTTTCTGAGATTATTATGAATGCTGGATAAGCTTTTCCCATTTGTCACCCCCTTTTCCACTGTGCCCAAGTACCCATTTTCCCATGGCAGCAACGCCCTTTTGCTGTTCCCCTTTCGGTTGCTGTTGCTGTTTTTGAATTTCCTCAACTTGCTAGCCTGCAAACCCTTGTCGGGGGGCCTGATGAAAAGCCACTTACGCACAATTTTCACAACTCAAAAGCATTTTATTGATTGCACTTTAAAAACGCCGGGTTAAGGGAAAGCCAACCAAAACACTCATACGCCACGTTGGCTGGCATACTGCTCTACAGAATTTTTAGCCCCCCAACTGAGAATGTGCGTGTGCGTTTATTGACTGTCGTTTTTGAAATTGAGTTTTTCTGGCTTTTAGACGGCCCCACCTTCCCTCTCCCCGCTCGCCCCGAAAAAAACTTGGTTAAACTTTGGGGTCTTTTCCTGACTCTGCTGCAAAGGCAATTTAGCCCTCGAGGTTCCCAGCCAGATGTATGCAAATGTGGATGGGCTCGCCTGAGAAATCAAAGTCATTTCTGCTCATTTTTTTTCCTTTGCTTACTGCTGGTTAGATAACACATTTGGCTACGAAAAATTCCTTCTATTCCGGCGCTCTTCGCCCCTCGGGGTTAATTGTGCGAGAAGGCTAATGAACATGGCTTTTGGGCAGCATCTGACAGCTGCGTTTCAGACTCGGCTTGTTAATTGTTTTTGAAATCGTTGAGTGAACATTAATAAGATGTAAATTAGATGAAAACTAGAGAAGCTGGAGCTGGGGGACTCTTAATTGGGGTTGAATTTCAGCCCTATGAATTATGAGCGGGAAAGTTTATTTGGTGGCAGGAACAATTTTGATTGTTAATTCATATGTTAATGCGTAGCTTTAATGATAATAGATTTTTAATTACAAAAACTTTAGAAGTCTTTTTACCCGAAATATGTTATAATTTTTGTAGAATTTTAACGAGGTTTTGTATTTAATATATTGGTTGTATGTTTGAATGACGTAGTTAAAGAAACTTAAGGTGAAAACCAAAGATACAAAAATATTTTCAACAATTTGGAATGGTTTGATTTTATCCACAGGATTCAATATTATTATGGTAATTACATAAATGCTCTATTTCCCAGCGCCCAATAAACTTGTTCTGGAAACATCTCGCTAATTAGACGAACTTCTAAGGATTGTCTCATTTCTCTTATGTTTCCATAAAGTTATTTATGCGAAATCAAGCCATTTCCAGCTTCGATCTATCTCAGCACTATTCATTGCCTTTATATGGCTGTGCATTGTTTGCAAATCGCTTAATTATGGTTGATGGCGTTTTATTGGGGCATGGAGCCATAAAAGGCGGTCACAACGCCAGGTCCTTTGGGCCTACATCAATAACGGTCGTCTCCATTTTCATCTTCCTGGCTCAATCCTCGGGTGCTTCCTCTTCCCATTCCGCTTTCCTTTTTGGTGAGTGACATTCTCCTAGTTGCCACGACCTAAAAGCATAAATTTCCCGTGGCTTGGCCAAAATCAACGCCAAATGCTGTAAACGTTTTGCTTATGATTTTTATTGCACGCACACAAACGCACACTTATTCAGACTTATATAACTATATATACATAAGTATAAATTTGTATGTTTGGATGGAAACCCTGTGTAGACATTTTGCCGCAGCCTTAAGTGTGAAAGATGAAAAAAAGTAAACTGAAAAAAGGCGACCCGTGACGATGGCTTCTTTATGGCAGGCGGCGACCACGCCCCTTTTATACTTGGTGTGCCTATATGGGCGAGCACTTGGTTTATTTCATTAAGTTCACTTTGATGAGACGGTCTACATATTTTAGCATTATTTAAAATGGAATGTTTAAAGAAAGCTTTTTTATAAAAGAAACGTAGCATACTTTTTGGATGACATTTAGGAAATCGTTAAAAGTTGCCAGCCAAATTTAAAAACTTTTGAATACTCTTCTATTTAATCGATGGTATGGGGTCACTTACTTCTCCGAACTTTAAAACATCGATATCGCCTTGAGCGGAAATTCTTTAGTAAAGATAAAATCGCAAGAGAACAAGCTAATGGAAAGTTTAAGTTATGCTGAGTATCTACCATTCGTGGCTTCAATTTGACCTTATCTTTCCGCATTTTTTTTGTTGGCACTTGCCAAACAATGTCAGTTTTCAACTTTTAGCGCATTTTTCAAATTAGGTTAGCGGAACAGCGGTGGGGGGAGGGCTGGGCGAAAGGATGTTAGGATGTCAGGGTGTGCGAGTGTAAGGATATAGGGGTGTGATGGCCCCAGTGAAAGTTTTCTTATTGTCTTGAGCGGAAGGGAAAGGGCTTGGCTTGGTATGGTAGGCTTGTTAGCATCCTTCCTTCCTGCGCTTCCTGTGTAAAGCCACCATCTGCTGCCCGTTTAACCTTAATGTTTTGGGCCAAACCAGAACCACACCCTTCACACTCAAACACTACGCCCTTAACCACACCGTGAAAAAATATTGTTTTTATTTAAATAAAATACGGTTTTCATTTCATTAATTTGTTTATAATATTCCACAACTTTAAAAGTAATGATATCTTTAAATCGTTACATTTAATGTTAAATTGAAATAAGTCCAAAAAGATTTTGTTTTTCTTTTGAAAATATTTTTTATGCCCAGGAATCTGGTTGCCAATTTTGACGAGCTACTTTGTAAAAAAATATTATGAGAATTATTTAAAAAAATATTGTGATTTTAAAGCTAAGATGGATTGTTTTATTTTGTTTTATTTTAACAATTTTTCTCTGTGTTCTTACATTTGCGCACTGTTTCATTTTGATGTGCACTTATTTTTCAATTTGTGCGCGTGAGCATCCATCGTCCTGTCAGTTTGGTGTCTCATTCAAACCCGTCCGTCCCAGGGACTCGGCACTTCAACGTCATCTCGAAGAATTATCAGCGACTGCGTCAGCATCTAAATATAATGCTCACCTGCCCCCCCCTCGTCCAGGAATTCTGCCTGATTCCCTGGCTTTGCCATCCTTCGCCGGGCTTTGTTCTTACCCATCTCTTGGCCATTCGTAGTTGGCCAAGTTTTATGCTCGCTTTTTATGCCAACACGCCCCGTTGAGCAATTGTTGTTGCTGCTATGGGTGTTTTTAGTGCTCTCCTAATGAAATTTTTAAACGATTTCGTCTCACTTCACGGAACGCAGCAGATTGAAGAGCAAGAAATGGCTAAAATCCGGCAAGGAAAATTCCCAGCAAGTGTTTATATCATTCTGCATGGGAATCGTGTCTTAACTTTAATTGATTTAAACTCTGGAATTTTAACCTTTAAATCATAAAGTGAGAAAAAGATTTCTAGTTACGGTAGAATAAGAAGAAGTTTAATATTTTGCAATTATCTAAATGAATCACAGTAACAATCTTTCTACTACAAGGAAAACCACTTTGTGTGAATCTTTAATTAACTTTAATAGCCAAATAATTGAAAACGAAACACTTCAAAGAGCCAAGATTATTACGAATTTAAGTGAACTCACACACATGTACACTACTCCCCAAATATATGTGATTCTTACCTGTTTATGTGTGTGTGTGTTTGCCTCGAAGGAGGCTGTCAGGCTCATAAATTTACTACTGAAATGGGCAAAAGGAGAAGCGAACACAGCTGGAGGGGTTTTAATTAGAACACCTGACTGACTAACACACATACACATAAACACCATCTAGCACACACACTAAAATAGTTATCCGGTAATATGGTTAGTTTCCATTTATTTCAATTAAAAATTCAGTTCGGCCAAAGGGGAACATAAATATTCATTGGTAATTACATTGACCTTACTACCTCTCTCACTCTCTCTCTCTCTCTGCTTCTGCTTCTCTTTTACTCATTACTCTCTTTGTCTCGCTCTTTTATTGCAGCTAGTATTTTGTGATGAAGTCATGTGGAAATAGCAGCCACAACAACAACAACAAAAACAACAACCAGAGCAGCAGTAACAAGACCACTACAATTATAGGCAAAAGTTAATTAAATGCTGCATCATTTGCAAGCTGCAAGCAAAAAGGAATTCTTAACAATCGCAATAAAACTTTTGTCGAACAAAAGTAATTAAAGGACCTCACACCCATACCAATACCTCACCGTACGCTATGGGACAACAAAGTTGGTAGAGGCGAGAAGGTGCGGCCGAGAGGTGGGGCGACTGGGGGCCAGGAGTCCTGTACATGGCCAAAAGCCAGCTGACGCTGCCAGCCGCAAACAGCTAACAGCCAACACGAAGGAGCCCCGCGGGGACCAAGGACGCAGGACGCAGGACGAAGCGACGAGGAAGCGACGGCCGACAAAATGCAGAAGGAGAACAATGTCACGGCGGAGAATTGCCAATTTGTGGGGCCCTATCGCCTGGAGAAAACGCTCGGCAAGGGTCAAACGGGTAAGTGCAGGAAAACTCTCGCCATTTACGGCTTACTAAGTGCCTGGTTCACTGAGTAAAACCATCATTGCATTTATTAGCTGGAGCGAATCTATGCTTTGGCTCTTATTTATTGCAATTTCGTTAATGGGTCTCTCGAATTTCATTGAAGTAGATAAATCTTTTTTCATTACTTCGATATATATTATCTAAATCCAAAGATCGAAATAAAATAAATGGAGAGGAAAAAGCAAATCGATATTAGGAAAGCTAATTATGATCTACACATCCCGTTGAACATTCTATTTTCTCACCAGCTCTTCAAGAAATATATATTTTTCCTTTCACGACTAGAAATCACTCATAAAAGCTAAGAATCTTATTAATTAGCTGCTGTTTTTGTTTAAATATGTTGGGAAAACTTTTCTATCAATAAAAGAAAAACAAGAAATATCTGCAGTCCTCAATAAAGTTATTGCAATTGCGATTTTCCACTTATCCTTTTTGCAGGACTCGTCAAGTTGGGCGTGCATTGTGTGATTGGCAAGAAGGTTGCGATTAAAATAATCAATCGCGAGAAACTTAGCGAATCGGTGCTAATGAAGGTAAGTAGTTTCCCGGGGTCGAAGGTCACGACGCGATGGAAACTTTTTCTGCCTTGGGTTTATTGTTTTCCCCGCTGTTTATGATTTTGTTTTTCGCCTTCTTCTCATGATTCGCCCTTATTTCTTGTTTTTGTCTTCTCTTCTGGCGTACAAGTCATAAAAAACTGTGACAATAAAATTTGTTTTGTGGTTCGTTGTTTTATTGCCCGGCTCCTTGAAAGTGTAACGTGGTTTTTGGGGCTGTCGCAAGGGTGGAGAAAAAGGGGGCGGGGCATTGCAGTCAAACTTACAGCCATTTGGACTTTTGGACTTACATTACATGCTGGGGAAAGGGGAAATGCTTTGGGGATTTACCAGGCTTGTGGTTTCCTCGGATTTGGATCTTCAGTGTGCCAAAGTCAGGGAAAGTCAAAAGGATGTTTTGCGACTTAAGCTAGACTTAAAATGTTTCGGACATTTCGACGTGACCTTTACATTTAAAGGTGAGGTGTGACGCTTCTTAGGAGACGTCACTCTATTACAATGCTTAATTTTAATGCCATTAGAATATATAATGTTATAATCCATTGCCTGTGTGACATTTCATAAGTCGATACTAAAATTACAATTACCCCACAAATAGACAAGCAATTATCTGTGGTAAATATATATTCAGCCCGTAATCGATTTCCTGCCATAATCGAGAACGCACCATATCTTTTATACTACGTGGAAAACACTCTAAATAGATTTCATTCATTTCCAGACTTCAAGTCCATTCATTCGCTTCCAATAAAAGTCACAGTAAAGCTCAACTATTTATCTTCTCTGCGCTGTCATAATAAAACCTTAGAAAAGGAGGGATGTCCCTCCCCCTCACTTTTCCGTTTTATCCACCCGAAATGTGGTGCACTTTTTTTTGTAGGACATTGAAAGGACATGGGACAAATTAGTGCGTGCGACAACAAAGTAAAACAAAATTGACTGCTCTTTGGGTTGGGATGGAGTTTCTGGGAGGGGTGACCAAAGCTCAGACATGTAGGACAATCGAAATGCAAGGTGCTCGACACGAAGGCGGGGTCGAGGGTGCAAATGAGGATAAAGAACCGTCGATGATTGCGTGTGGTGTCCGTGTTGTAGGACCAGCTGGTCGGGACACGCAATGAGAAATTGGACGCCATTCGGGGGACAACAATGGCCCATAATGGCCAGCCAAGAACCAAGCACTTTGAATGCATTGTAAGGCTGATTGCACTCTTCAAAAATGCTTAGGGATAGTTTTCTAAAATTAGAAAAATTAAATAAAAAGTAAATTTATATAAGTTAATTAGAAAATGTTCCACCAAAAATCTTTTATCGGGTATTTAAATATTTCTGCTATTTAAATATACTTTCAATAAAAATGATACAAATTTTTAACTTGAAGCTTTAGATTTTCCTACTTTGTTATGTTTTTTGTATGCCTTTATTTTTCCGCCTTAATATATTTATTTTTCTCTGTGTGAGCACGGGGATTTAGGGGAACTTGGCAACATTGTCGATAAGTCGATTAAAATCGCTTGTCTGCTCCACTCTCTCTGTTTTTGCGAAGGTTGAACGTGAAATCGCCATAATGAAACTAATCGATCATCCGCATGTCCTTGGCCTGAGCGATGTGTACGAGAACAAGAAGTATTTGTATTTGATATTGGAGCATGTATCCGGCGGAGAGCTCTTCGACTACCTGGTGAAGAAGGGCCGTCTGACGCCCAAGGAGGCGCGCAAATTCTTCAGGCAAATCATCTCAGCCCTGGATTTCTGCCACTCACATTCGATTTGGTAAGTCTCTGCAGCAAACTCCCAGCTAAACTGTAATCAATACTGGATTTATTTGGTGTTTGTTCCGTTTTCCGTTGTGTTTTTCAGCCATCGGGACTTGAAGCCGGAGAACTTGCTGCTGGACGAGAAGAATAACATTAAGATAGCGGACTTTGGGATGGCTTCGCTGCAGCCAGCTGGCAGTATGTTGGAGACCTCGTGCGGCAGTCCCCACTACGCGTGTCCGGAGGTCATACGGGTAAGTAACCCTCCCCCCCCCACTGAAAAAAATGGCCAAAAGATTGCTCTTCGGTTGCTCCTCTGCTGCCATATCTGCTGGTTGGTGCGGCAAACGCATAAACGTCAATCAAGGCGAACTTTTCTCTAGCAAATTTTCAGTTGCAGCCATCGGTGGCAGTCGAGGAGGCGGCTTCCTGGAGTCGCTTTCCTATGCAAATTTCGTCGGGCTGGATCCGAAATCCCTTCTATGCAAATGCACGTCATGTGCGCATATGATTTCCCATCTCGGGAAGCCCTGCGCTCCCTACACCCAACAAAAAGTTTCGATTCCCCCTTAAAGTGTTCGATTTTTCGCCAAGGACAACGAGCTCTTTGCGGTTGTAAAAGGAACATTTTATTGAAAGCTAAAAACTTTGACTTTTTTCAAAAAGTTAATGTTTAAAGTTTACGTGAAGTTTAAAAGAGGTGTTTATTATAAGCAGAAAGTATTTTCTTTCTTCTGAATATTGGTTTCCATTTTAAAAAGTTTAAGTTCAGGCATTTAAGACTTTTTTAAACAAATTAGGTATTTAGTTACGCATAAAAATCGCATAAGAAAAAATAATTGAGGGCTTTAATCTTCTTACAATGAATTTTTTATATCAGAAAAGCCAAAGAAATCAACTTTGAATTCTATATTGCAATTTTCTAAGTGTATCCTGCAGCATATCCTTCAAGAAGGAGCTGCAGGAGCTTCTGGCAAGGCTTCATGCTCCTGCACCCGTAATAAATTCATAAGGGGAATTTTAAAATATTTCCTCGTTCAGTCTTATCATATATACTCCAGCTGGGTTATAAATCTGGCTTGGTACGTGATGTTTAGCTTATCTGCACGTTATATTCTTTTATAAATATTCAACAGTCACAGTTCAGTGGGGATTGGTAGTTTTCCCCACCTCCTAATTGATGTCTTCCAGCCAAATCTGCTTTGCAAGGGAAAAACCTTGACAATTTGTAGGGGAAAATTGCGTGGAAAGCCCATGTGCTCAATCACATAAGTGGTCGTTTATCAATCTTTGGTAGATGGTAGGGGCTTAAACCGCAACATGAGGCCCAAGTTCGTTTAGGGTTACCGACGAACAAAAATTGGTAGGGGTAATCGAGCGTACTCCAGACATATAATCTTACAAATTGGAGTTTCGAGTGTAGGTGTAATTGGAAAATGCTCATAAGTAATGGTTTTAGGGGTAATTTAAAGCGTATGACAGAGATTTTTAGGAGATATTTAACTCAACTTCATACTTTAAAAGGACATAAAAATATAGATTATTAATCAACTCCAAATGAATAGAGCAACGTAACGTATAATTTGAATCAAATACCTCTGTAAACATTAAATACACACCACCTTCGTGCTTAAAGATTTACCATTGCGACTTAAAGGGGAAATACATGGCCTGCAATTTACAGTCGTGCCACAATTACACATTGTGCTGGGCAACAAACTGCGAGTCATTGTGCCATTTACCTGCCAAGTCAATAACCGTCCCCAGGGAAAACAGAATCGCTGGACTGGGAACAGAGACTTGGCATTTGATGGACACGTCAATGGACGTCAACGAGTTGAACGGACCTGCCCTCTATCAGTCTTTAAATAGAAAACTTTTTAAATTAGTAAGCATTCAGATCGAATGCTTTTCCCATGCGAGTGTGGTTCGATAAAAGGGTGATGGGTCCTAACGATTTCGGGCCACGCACAATGGCCAATCGAATTTTCGAAATAATCAAGCTGAAAGCAAACCCAACCAAAAAGAAAAAAAAAAAATAGTCAACCCAACAGAAATATGTTCGCCTTGAAAGTGTCTCAATTTCTGATTCCCCATTTTTCTTTTATTTTCTCGGGATCTTTTCAGGGTGAGAAATACGATGGCCGCAAGGCGGATGTTTGGTCCTGCGGGGTCATCCTGTACGCCCTTTTGGTGGGTGCGTTGCCCTTCGACGACGACAACTTGCGACAGCTGCTCGAGAAAGTCAAGCGCGGCGTCTTTCACATACCGCACTTCGTGCCCCCCGACTGCCAAACTCTGCTGCGCGGCATGATTGAGGTGAATCCGGACCGGCGGCTTACGGTGAGTCATCCCCACATTCTCACTCATTCACACCCGAAATGCAGCGGTCATCCCACAATGGCAATTCTCAAAATTCCGACTGCCTAAGTGTACTCAAAAAAAAAAAACCAACCTTGAAACACCTCCTTTTGAAGCTTTAAAGAATTAGAAAACATTTAATGTTTATACATGTTGAAAACTATTTCAAAATCCTTTTATTCACTTTTAAATAATTAACGTAATTACATATTTAATTTGTTTTTTTGGAAGATCTCTTTCAATTTTGAATATGATAATTAAATTATTTAAGTTTAATTATCTAAAAATTAGTAACTTTAAACGAAAATTTATTTAAAGCTTTTCAAATATTAGTAAATATAAGTTTCTCGAAGTGTTGATGGTGAGTCATTTGGAATTCACCCCCAGGCAATTGTTGGTTTTTGGGTCAGCTATTTACCCACCCCCCGTTTGTACTTCCTCCCTGCAAAACCCTGTAAACCGGTTATTTCCTTATTTTTTGACCGCATCCAGCTGGCCGAAATCAACCGCCATCCGTGGGTCACAGCTGGGGGCAAAGGTGAGCTGGAGCTGGAGCTTCCGATGATGGAGGTGGTGCAGACACACGTTATTCCCACAGCCACCGCGGTGGATCCGGATGTGCTGAATGCGATTTGCTCGCTGGGCTGCTTCAAGGAGAAGGAGAAGCTCATCCAAGAGCTGCTCAGTGCGAGGTGTGTTGTTAAATTCCCCTTTCACTTAACAGTGGTTTTATGTTTAATCACACACGACTTAATCACCGTAGCCACAATACGGAGAAGGTCATTTATTTCCTGCTGCTGGAGCGCAAGCGAAGGCGACCTGCTCTGGAGGACGATGATGAAATTGCGCAGAAGTCCCGCAGTGAACTCGACGCAGTGGATCCGCCTCGCAAGCGGTTGGACACCTGCCGCATCAACGGAACCAATGCACCCAGCTACGGACAAATCTCAGAGGGTTCACCGCTCACGCCAAGACGACAGGCCTTCAAGTAAGTGTTTCGTAATACAAAAATATACTAAAATATAAACTTGTTTATCCGAGCTCATGTCTGATTTTTCCAAGTTTCCTATGAATTGCAATCTATTTATTGGAGGCCATAACTCCGCCAATTTTAGTCCGAATCAAAAGTGACAAGCCTCTTAAATTTTGGGTTGATTTTTTCAATGTTTAATGTTAAATGTTCGAAAAATTTATTTGTCGAAAAAAGGGCTAAAGCCAGCCTTTGAAAGCCAATAAATTTTCTTAATGATGTTAGATTTCCGATTTCAAAATGCTTGTGACATAAACTGCAAGAAACTGCATCCTCAATTCCCAATTTAATATATTATAATTAATTATTATTATTATTATATTACTATTAATTAATTGCTTTTGCTTTTTCTTTACTTTTAGCTTCCGCTCGTACAGCAGCACACGGAACCACCAACGGCGCTCGCCCACAACAGTTTCCTCGTCGGTGCGGAGCTCCTCATATCACAGTCCCACGCGCTGCAACTCCCCAATGAGTTCCGCGCAGCAGCAGGCGAACGCCATCTCGCGACCATCCTCACCGGCGGCGGGAACTCGGCACTCCACGTACGGCGATCGCGATCGCTCCGGCCACCACTCCTCGGTGAGCAGGACACCGTCGCACAGCTCGCAGAAGAGCATCGAGGGCGATGTGGTGGTGGTGCGAGAGCCGCGGATCGAGAGGAGGGACTCGTTGCGCCAGGAGCGCAGTGGAGGATCGCCGAGGGAGCGGGGCGATTGCGGCATACCGCCGGGCAGTCCGGGCGGCAATTCGAGCGGCTCCAGTTCCGCATCGCCGTCGGTGCACCACCGTGCCAACTCAGGTCCGACCATTGCCATTAGTATGTTCCACGATCCAGAGTCGAATAGTGGTGTGTGCATGCCCCGTAGATCCCCTTTAGTTTTTAAGCTAAGAAAAAGATAAAATATGTATGTTTACAATATATATTCGATACTTTTTCATGTAAAAAAATCGATACGTCATGGATTAACTTAATAACTTTTCAAAAAATGTATAAGCCAAGCTAACATAAAATATTATCAACTTTTAAAATAACAAGTTTGAATTATGGATTATTTTTAATTACCCTATAGACGTATCGCTTTATTATTTAATTTTTTTTTGGTACAGAAACATTTCTTGAATAACCACACATTTTGTTAATCTTGCAGTTGTGAATCCAAATGGTTCGCCCATGATGAACAACAGCAGTCCGGGAATGCCTGGATCACCTTGCAACACACCTGGTGGCCAATTGTGGAAGACTCGGCTCACCAACATCAAAAACAGTTTCTTGGGAAGTCCGCGGTTCCATCGCAGAAAAATGCAGGGTAAAGTCAATACAATTAAAAAATAATTTTACATATGTAATTATTTATTTGATTCATCTGGTTAGTTTCTGCCGATGAGGTGCACTTGACGCCCGAATCCTCGCCGGAGTTGACAAAACGCTCCTGGTTTGGTAATCTCATAACAACCGAAAAGGACGAAACCTTTACTATTTTGGTCAAGGGCAAGCCAATTGCCACGGTCAAGGCGCATTTGATACACGCATTTTTATCCGTAAGTGGCTAAATACCATTAAAAATTATTATATTAATTTTTACATATTTTTATAGATGGCTGAACTATCGCATAGTGTGGTGTCGCCCACCTCATTTCGAGTGGAGTACAAGCGAAATGGCAATGGACCCGTCATGTTCCAGCGCCATGTCAAATTTCAGGTTAGTTCAGGTCAGCTTTAGGCCAAAGTTTAACCCACTAATGGCTTGTGAATGCCTTTCAGGTTGACATCAGTGCCATTTGCAAACAAGGTGACATAGCGGATATGTTGTTTGCATTAACATTTACGCTGCTATCAGGTAAACAATATGCTACCATGAAAACCTGTAACCAGTAGAACTAAACTCCTTGATTACTCAGGTAACATTCGGCGTTTTCGACGCATTTGCGAGCACATCCAATCGCAGGTGTGTTCCAAGCGATTCCCGGGACCCAGTAGTCCGCCCACGGTGACCAGCGTAACCCAGGCTGTTTCCGAGAGCTCCTCCTGCGGATCGGTGTCCAGTGAGAGGTTGTCCTACAAGCGACAGGTGGTGAGTCGTTTCCAGAACAGATTTTTAAGTATTACTGCTAACTAAAATCCTTTTAGATCGAAAACGACATGGAGAACGACTCCATATTCTCGTACAAGTCGGGCAATGGACGTAGAGCCTCGACCACCAACAATAACAATGCCAATCCAGTGGACATTCCCGGCAGTCCCATTGCAGTGCGATCCAAGTAAGATAAAACTAAGGATAAATTACTTAGAAAGTTGTTGATATAAAAATTATTTAGACTGTGAAGTCCTAAATACCAATTTTTTTTATAATATTACACACTTAAATTTATTTGTTGTGTTTTTGCCAAACCATATTTCATGTTAAAATATTACTGCAAGCATTTATAACTAAAATTAAAGAAATTAATATGTTCCAAGATGATGAGGAAAAGTTTATGTTTTGTCGAAAATGTTATAAACTTACTGCAACCCAACATATTCCAAATGTTGTTATAATTTTTAATTTTAGGTAACCAAAATTTTCCCTTTCTTTAACTAATTTTCCGTCGTTTTTTCAGCTCTGAGACCGCTGAACACGAACGCAACCGCGAACTGCAGAGTGAGCGCCAGGCGACAACGATGTCCGGTAGTGCAATCGCATGAGAATTATTTCTCTGATTTAGTTACATTTTTCTAAAGGTCATTTGTTTCGATATGGCACTAGTCAACACAAAACGCAACCAAATATTGTACTCCAACTAGATAACGAATCAGCCACTCAAACAGTATTTTTTCTAGAATACCATCAGCCAGAGATCTTCAAACTAAGTAACACTTCTCACACACGAAAAACAAATCCGAATAATATACCAAAGCAATAATAGTGGAATTTATATGAACTAGCATTAATAACGAATCTGAACTTTTGAAAGCCGAACGATTGAACAGAACTTTGCTAGCTGCTCCAGCTTTTATTAAACTTCATTTTCTAGTTATTGTTGATTTTTTGAGTGACTTTTTGAATATGTTCTTTTGAGGGACATTGTTGCCGCCGCGCCTAAAAAGCTTGCAAATAAAAACACCGTGTAAAAATATACAAAAAAATGGAATCAAGTTAGCACTAGCATAAGTCGAACCAGTTATTCTAGTCATTTTCTTTACCTAGATTAGGCCTCAGATTTAGCTACGAAAACGAGGAATGCTACTCAAGAAAATTCGCTGACGATTTGTATAGAGTGTATAAAGAATATTACGCAAATGCACTGATCTTAAACTACTAACAAAATTAAAGAAAAGAAAAACAAAATAACTTTTGCATTACTTAGCGTTGCTGTTTTTCTAACAAACCAAATCGATATAACTATTTTGCTAGCCACTAAAGAAAATCGAAGAAACAGGACGGGAAGGGCAAACTATTTTTCCTAAATAACAAAATACTAAACAAATCGCGCCAACTTTCGAACTTCAGAGATGCATACATGACGATCAAAAGAGTGTTGTGCGGTAGATAAACTCAGCAGATATTGACAAAGAATATAGGAGACGATTAGAAACATGTATAATGTACATAAGACACCGAATAACGAATAACTAAAAACGGCACAGCACATGGCTAATAAGGCATATACAGCACATTAAAGTAACGACATTAAATACCAGAAACAAGATATATTTTGCATGGGCCTAAAATAAAGCTTTCTTAACCAGTACTTGTATAAATCAATTGGGACGAAATATTTATCTATGTATAGAATGGATCAGGGATTGAACAAATTGCTGGGTTGCATCAGTGACAAAAAAATAATACCTAGGAGAGAAATTCGATTGGAGTTTGTATATTTTTATTGGAAAACAAGTAGAGCAAACAAGCTGTCCAAGAATGCACAAATGCTATTATGATCTACTCAACTCTTCTCTCAGTGTAAGGAGCGTTTCGCATGGCAACCCCACAAACAATCACATGAATCCTTCCCTACCCTACTTTTGAGTGGTTCTCATAGTTTATAGATTACTTTCTAACACCCATGCCAATCAATCAGAGTTCTTTTTATAACACATACGATAATTTGAAACTAAAAGACTTAAGAAAACGACATAAAGCTAATGAAATCCAAACAAAAAACCGTCCATTTATCCACTTAAAGCTAACAACAATGTAGAGGCACCTCAGCAATTTGTGAAATCTACTGGATACGAGTGTAAAGTGAAAGCTGAATAACGACGTATGTAACTTGTAAAAGGATATAAATCTATACTGAAACTGTGTATGACAGCAATATCAAAATAGTCAGCTGAGAGATAAGAGGCGATACTAAAACGTGATTAGAACAAATATTAAAGGACAAATTATGGCAAGTTAATAAATGCTTAATGATAAACCGAAGTAGGGTCGCGAAAAGTAAATAAATATTTAAAATACCTATTTAAAAAGTATTGAATCAGTACTTAAAAAAAATCACACGAGACGAACTCAAACAAAAATCATGCAATAATATTGAAATGAAATTACTTTCTAGCATTAACTACAATACATCAAATTATTTAAAGCTCATCATATGGAAAATACTCAAGAAGAAAACGCATTTAAGCTGAACATACATTCAAAATTAAGCTCACCGATTTGAAGAGATGGCATTACATATATTTATACATGCATATATCATATACACCTCGATCATATTGTATTCTGTATTTACTTTCATATACAAGAACAAAGTCCTCCCAGCATACCCAACATATACGACGTATACATCTATATGCCTCACCTGCATTCGTACATCCATATATATTTACATACAATCGCATTTAATACGAGTTACATTTCATCACCCAAATTGTATCATAAGAAATGTAAAGATCATATTTTTCACTTGATACTAAAACCTAACAATACTAAGCCTAAGCATAACCAAGAAGCTCTGCATACTAAAACCCAATCGCAGCTGCGAAAAAAAGAAGTAAAACGATAATTGCTTTATAAGGACTACCAATCCAAAGGAAACACAATGAAAAAATGAACATAATACTCAATGCTGCATTATGCCACGCCTACCTTTTTACCTTAACTGAAGCCTATACTAGATGATCAACCAATCTTTCGCGCTCTTCTCAAAAACATAATCACCACCAAACCCAACTAACTCATTTTAACTGCTTCACATTCAGCATGAGCAGCGAATATTTGCGCCGAGATAATTTTATATGCAACGTATACATATTTCTATCTATAGTATATATATACACCCCTATATATATACAAGCATTATACACCAGAGCAAGCGCTTTACTTCAGATGCAAATGCTGTGCAATGGAGAAATGTTTATTACTCATTACGAAATAAACGATTCGCATACTTATTAAAATACATTTAGAGGGTAATGTTGTGTATTGTACTACGCTTTTTACGTTGTTGTTTTGTTTCCCCCTGCGTTTCAACATATTATTGTAATATTGTAATTAGTTTTGCAAGTGATTACGGCTAAGTTAAATACGGCATTGTGCGCTTTGTTTTGTATCTTCGGATATAAGTTGAATGATTGTATTTTGTAATTTAATTTTAAGCTTGAAGAATCGCGTCTGAGGGTGAGTCGAAAACCAGGCCGAGATCGAACCATAAAAGAGATAAATATTAAAACCGACACGTGTAAGAGGAACAACAAAACCAAAAAAAAAAAAGGAATACAAAACAAAACAAACAAAGTGGCATCTGTTATTAGGTTAAAAGAATTATTGATATTGTTTGCAAGAAAATGTGTGAAATATATATAAATATAAATAAATAAAATAACATTTAGCATAAAAACAAACAGTGAACAGACAAGCAAACAACCACAAATTGTAATTGCAATTTAAAAATAAAATTAATATTTCAAATAACAGGATTTATGTTTTATTGAAATGCGAATTAAAAAAATTGTTTTAGAAATAATTCTTTATTTTTGGTATTCATGACGTATGATTAATTTTTTAAATATTTTTTTCTTGCTTTCAGCTAAATTATATATACTCTATAAATTTTTTTGGTCACTTATTACTCTAATTTTTGGAAAAAATTTGAATTGTATACAACTCCAATTTAAATTCATAAATATATATTTATTTTATTTTTATTTTATATTGTTACTAAATAAATTCACCGCCATTTTCAGTGCTGTCATTCGTATGCATCCCACTGTGCCGCATGCATCCGCAAAATATTACGTCACTTGCCGCCATGTCTCTTTTGACAGGGAGGCTGACCTCCGGCCATCAGCTGTTTTTACGGACGAAGGATGCTTGGTGGTAAGAAGGACAGTGGGGAAAGGGGGTAAACGCCGCATGCACTGGCGGCAATCAGCTGTGGAGCTTTGGAGCACCAAAGGAAAGCTGGCCAATCTGCAGAGCTTCTGAGAGAGCCGGCTGGGAGCTTTGGCTCCGAACGGAAAATAGGAGACGACATCGAAAAGCTAGCGGCGCACCAGAGACCTTTTGCTGTTCGTCACAGCAAGTCACAGTTTCTTCTTCTTCTTCGGTTTCACGATGTTTTTGCAGCCCTACTGACGCTGGCTCTTCTTCTTTTTGTCGTCGCGCCTGCTGTTCGTCCTCCTGCTTTTCCGCTATTCCGAATCCGAAACCGAATCTAAAATACGAGTCCCCGAATCCGAATCCGAATCGGAATCGAAAATGCGTGCCAAACTGCATGAAAAGGAAAACTTGGTCAGTTGAGGTTTCAGTTCGGGTCGGGTTTGCAATTCAACAGCACTGCGGAAGCGGAGAAAATTCGTCACCTCAGCGGGACGGGCCTAACAATAAGCCTTAGCGTAGTAATATCGACTTCACCGCCCTCGATATATATAGTATATATGCGATATTCGTCGTAAGGAAACGAAATCGGAAAAATTGCGATTGTGGCTGTCCCGTTAAGTTGCCAACCGTGTGTGTTCTAGCAAATAATTGAAAAACGTGTGGAAATTGCAATGTGCGAAATGAAATGTGCATTTGTGTTTTGAATTTTTAACGTACAACCCAGTAGTTCCATTTTTTGCAGTGAGTGAGTGAGCGAGTGAGTTATGTAAAGCTCTGGTGTTGGGTTCTTTTGGTGTTTTCATTGGGTGCGGGATAATAACCAACACCACCTACTACAACAACAACAACAACAATAACCGTGGTCAGTGGCAAGTGCAGCAACAACAACTAAATCAGCGAGCGTGTGAAGCGACAATAAGCGTTGCAAGATTGAGTGGCTTAAAAAAATAACGTGGTTATTAAAAATTAAAGGCGAGAGAATTAGGATGCGAAAATGGGATTTCAAACGAGGATTGTGTTAGAAATGAAAATAAAGTGTATGCAACCATGAATTAATTTTTATAGATGCATAAACCTAATACTTAATAAAAACACGCGTTATTGCGTGTTTAATAAAGAACTTTCAAATGTTTTAAATCTTAAAAGTATTGTTAGAAAAAGTTCTCCTCAAAAATAGAATAGAATGAACAATATTAAGTATACGCACCAGTGGTATGAATTAATTTATTCTAATTAGTTATTTAACCGTATTTTTTGGAGTATACAAAAACTGAAGAATTCTATTAACGTATTGCGTAAAACGTTTAGAAAGAAAATAACTAACAAAAGATTCTTTTAGAAAGGTCTTGAACCAAAAAATTAAGTATACGCACCAGTGGCTTAAAAAAATATACTGAGGCCCTGATTACAAGCATTAAAAAGTTAAATACTTTTTATTACTTTTATATCTATTCATTTCAATTTCATGTTAATGCAATCTTGTATTTTACCCTCTTGAAACCCAAATGATAGATTATCCAAGACTGGCAAAGGTTTATGTAAACTTCAAACTTTCCCTGCTAGGCATATCAATCAAATATCATTTACAGACCCTTCAATCCATGGCAATCAGCCCACTGAGTGAGCTGTATCATAACACAATCAGGTTGGGTATCGGCATCAATTACCAATTATAACTTGACAATAAAATCGCCAAGTGTCCGCATAAAGAGCCCAAAAGCCACACACACAGCCGCCAATCAATTCGCTTTTAGCGGTCTCTCTCCGACTATTTTTAGTTGCACTTGCTTTCCTTTTTTCCGTTTTTTTTTTTTTTTTTTTTTTTACTTTGCTCAATATTAGTGTCAAGGTGCAGCCAGTGCATAGAGACAGAGATGGAAGTAGAGTCTGAGACAGAGACGGCGAGAGGCGAGCCGAAAAGAACAAGTCGAGAAAACGCAAAAGAACGCGAAAGGGGCAGCAAAGGGGGAATCCCCTTTTCTTGGCGGCGACGACATCGCGAGAAAGCAACACACGAAAAGGTGGCTATCAAAAAATAATAACAAAAACAAAAGCAGCAGCAAGGGGGCGGTGCATTAGGGGGCAGTGGGGGTGGCAAGTGGGAGGTGCGGCTGTGGGGGGAGGGGGCCTCCTTCAAGACTTGTCACATCGAACAGAAAGAAATTGAATTTATGTCTTGGGTGGGTTGCCTTCAATGACAATTAGGCTGCTATAACCGCAGCTCTATATATGCTACACGCCGGGCTAACGGTAAAGCTATAGCTGTAGGTAACCTAACGAAACCGTGGCGCGTGTTTCACTCAAAAGGTAAATCGCGTTAGCAACAACAACAAGGATACGCAGGGCTCAGCTTTCAGGCTGCGACCCACATTACTTAAATTACGAACTACACGCAAAGTCGCCGAAAGCCCACACACAACTGGGAAAAGTCACACACGCTGGCTGGTTGGTTAGTCATTCCGGCACTCTGCCACTTCGTCATTCAGTCAGTCAGTCAGTCAGCCAGTCCATCCAGTCAGTCCGTCAATCATTAGCCAAAATGCCTTATGAGTCAGCCAGTATGTGACCTACACTTGGAGGCCAATTCAGTACTTTGATTACAAGTCAAGCTTAAAATTGAAAACCTTGAGATATTTTTTTTTTTAATAAAATTTAAAATTTCTAAGCTTTTTATTCAAATTTAAAAATAATTGTTAAAATTTTCTATATGCGAGTTTACTAATTACTATGTGGTATACCTATATTGCGGTGCACTATAAAAATCTTCTAAAAAGTTGGCAACTATCTTAGTTTTATTACACATCTTGTTCATTCTTAGTAAAAACATACAAAGCAAAAATTCAGATAAAATTCCTTTGAACTTGAAGATTATCCTTCAAAGAGTTCAAAAAGTAAAAATGTGCCTTCCCCGATTAGAATCTATATAAGTTTCCAGTGTAAAGTCCTCGTTCTCGAAGCTTGCGTGCATTTGGGTGGAGCCTCCGCCGAAGAAAAGTTGATATGGGGCGGTACGCGATTGGGGGGCAGGAAGACATGTTGCATATTTCGGGGCGTGTTTGGCTGCTAGACAAAAATGTCGTTCCCAACGAAATTCCCGGCATACCAGAGCTGTGTTAAGGACAGACATTGAAACAGAGGCATTTGTCTGACCGCCACCCTCGCAGTAATGAGATGAAAAACACCGAAATATACTCAGCATTTCTGTACCGACTTGCGGGCGAATTTGTTTTCACCCAAAAAAAATAAAACTCAATTAAATTAAATTTAGTGTTCCTTGTTTTTTGCTTGTTAACCATCACACATACATAGATACGAATGGTATTCTTTCTCGTTTTTGCTTTGGTCTGATGTTTCGCATTTTGCATTTCCCTTTGCAATGCTTTGGTTTATTTTTAACAGCTTTCCTCAGAGCGTGTGAAAAATTGTTTTCCTCCTCACTACATTGTCTGGCACAGATGATGTGAAATAAATAGATGATAAGGCCAAGGCAGGGATAATTTATTATCGCTTTTGAAAGCTCAGACAAACGACCTTTCTTATGGCCATCCCGGTAATAAAAGTCCAAAAACTGCACCAAAAACGCGCTGAAGCGCAAAAATAGCAAACGTTTTGTCGTAATTACTTAGAGATGCAATGCGAATTGAATTTCCTCGCCAAAGGGGTTTATTTTTTTTGTTTAATTTCATTTCATTTAAGCGCACCATTTTCACGCGAATACGCCTGGCAATAATCTAGTGCATAAATAAATAAAAATAGTTCATTGAGGCAGAAGACAAACACGATTTTTACAGCCTTTGCTGTTTATACATATGTATGTATGTACGCAAGTGCACATTTGTGGCAAAGAGGCATGCAAATACACGGCAGTATAGGAAGTGCAAGAAATTATTTATTAATGAATCGCTGGGAAAACAGCGAGTGCACAAATGAACAGTCGATGGATACATTGAGGTGGTTGAGTTCAAATAGAATGAAAATTAGGAAAATGTTTTGGGAAATGAGAATTCAAAACAACTATTTACTAACTTGTTTTTATATTTTATGAGCATTCATTTCAATAAAGTATTTTTTATATTTTTAATTTTTTTAATGAAAGAATTCTGCAACTTTTGTTTTTATTTTTTCGATTTCCCATTCTCAAAGTTTCTCTCTTCAATTTCCCAACTTTTATTATCTATGGTAATCTTAGTTTTTTTTTATGTCTCTGTCAATTTCTCTTTGGTCAAAATTTATATTCCCAACTTAAAGTTTTTGCCATAGCAATAAGCCATCGTTTAAAAAGTTGTAGATCACAACTTAAAATCTCGGAAAGCATGGATCCTGCAAGTTACTCGTCTTCCCAGACTCTCTTTAAAAAAAACTTTCGCTTTACTTAACCTCTTCAACTCTACCAGATCCCATTATAAATTTCAACAAGACGTTGCCTGTCGTTTTCCAAAGACTTTTATCTGCGTACCAGCTTTACATTACTTTCCATAAGTTTTCCACCTCAAGGCAAGTGTTTTCCAGCTTTCCCCCGCTTTCGCCGCCAACTAACTGCTTGGCAAATTGCTGCCACTTACATAAGCAGCTCGGCCATCACTTGCTGAAAGAAATACACAAAAGTTTTTGGCCAGGAAGTGGCGCCAAATGAGCAACTGAGTGAAGGTAGGGGAAAAAATCAAGAAAACTTTAGCATACATCACAGGGCAGTTAAGACTTCAAAGTAAACAAAACAATCGTAAAAGGCGAGTGCGAATGTGAGAACAAAACAAAGTAAGAAAGGCATAAAAAAAGGGAAACGAAATCAAGCAAATCACATGGCCAAACATAAAGCGTCAAAAGTTGGCCAGAAATGAGCCGAAATAAAAGAAGAAATAAAATAAAACCGAGGGTGTTTTGTTGTTGTTGGTGTCCGTGGGTAGTTGGTAATGGTGGCTTCAAAGGACCTAACACCAACACCAGTGAAAAATCAAAAGAAAAACAACGAAAAGGAAAGCAATATACATTTCAAAGTGTCGTACGTTGTCGGTTGTTCGCGAGTGTTAGTGCGAAATCCTTAGTGTGTGCGAGTGTGTGTGTGTGTGTGTCGTTCGTCAGGCGATGCGATGCGTGTCCTTGCAACTTTCGGCTCAGTCCTCGCCCTTCGTCCTTTCGCTCACTCACTCCCCTCCGTCTCTCAACCCCTCTCGCTCACTCCCACAGCCCACAGCCAGCGGCAATTGCACATAAGTTGCAACAAGCAAAATAACAACAACAACCAAAAAAAAAAAAAACCTTACAAAAAAGGTAGAAAAAAAGGGGTAAAAATAAACAACACAACATTGTAAGCAGGCTGAAAGGCGTTGCCAGATTGTTGGCCAACAACAGCTATAGCAACAGCAACAACAACAACAGCGACAAGAACAACAACCACAACAGCCAACAACACAACGCCACAACAATCGCCTGGAGGGCCAAAGCCAAATGAACGTTGTTGGCTAGTCCGCTTGTCGCCCGCTTGGTGGCGCTGCTGGCTGAACTAGCAGCAACTAGCAACAAAAACAACAAGAACAACGTGCTGCGTGCTGCCGCTGGAAATCCTGTCGCTAATTAGGTAAGTCACTGCCACTGCGGCCGCAAGGAGTGTGTCCTTTGTGGTCAGGAGGTGATGGGCATATTATTTCATTTAGAGGCCAGCCTGTAATTATGGCAATTTGCGTCAGCCGCCGGGCGAGTGCAGGAAATGTTACACATACGCCACGTGGGCACCAGAACCTATTTTAGGCTTAAACTTATATTAATCACTGTCTTCGTTAGTTTTAAAAGTAACCCCTACTAAATTAATATGATAATGTTCTTAACTAATCAACGACTATTTCCGCTTAATTTATTCTACTTTTTTAAAACAGAAAATGTTTACTTTTCCCGCTTTTTAATTCTCCTATTTAACAAGCTGATCAGTTGAATCAAAAACAAACCCGTTTTTACATATTTAACCCTCTGGATATATAGTTACCTCTACGGCAGTTTAAATTCAACCTTTTTCCACCGTTTATTTGCCCCAGGCAGTCAATCGTTCTTGCCAGGAAAAAAGGAAAAAAAGCTTTTGAACCGATTTCTCTTCATTTCGGATAAACCGCGTTGCGCCAAATTGAATTTCCTGGCTAAAATGCACCGGGGAAACTGAGGGTGCATATAATCATACACACAGGTGAAATGATGCTGAAATGTTTGGCTTTCATTTCACGTTGAGTAGATTCCGCCATTGCATTATAGATGCATGATAAATTGCATTCGATTACTGTAAATTTGGTGTTTTATATTTTTTTGAGTTCTGCCATCTGTCTCAATTTATTTTTGTCAACTTTATGGAGACTCCAGTAGCTCCATGTGTTCTGGGTCAATTCCATTTTTTTGCGAAGTATCGCCGAATTTTGTATTAATCTGACCTGAAACGACAGTAGTTTCTATTTTATGAAGCGTCTAAAATTTGGGGAATTTTTAGGAAATCAACTGGCAAATCGCCTTATGAAAACAAAGCGCACAGTTATAAAAACATTTTCAATTCGTTGGAATTAATTCCATTTCTAGCTTACACCGCATTTGCTAGCTTTCTGTATAATGGTCAACGTTCATGCTGACTTATGCGTAATATTTCTGGAAATTGTATTCCACAAGGGTATCCTGGCATTTGGCCGTAGAACTCTGACCTACATAGAGGTAAAGGTAACTAAAAGCCAAAAAACTTAAACATTAAGCCTGGGGAAAAAGCGGAGGCGGCGGTGTCCCGGCCAAATGGAAAATCAACAGCAAAGAGAATGAAAAGGCCAGCAGGCAAATGGAAAGAGATGCTGGGGCTAACTGGCATCTCCTTGCCGGGGATCAGGCGGACAATTGAATGGCCCAAAGGCAGCCCCAACTAGTTTGGCCTTTCCCCCAGCTCGGTTGTCCACAACAGAGGCTCCATTCTGCTCTTGCTCGCTGTGTCCTTTCTGCTTTCGCGTTGGCCCATCCTTTTGTTGTCATAACTGGACGAACATCACGGCCAAATCCGACAGCTTGGCTAACTTATAGTCAAAGATGGTAGCTGGAAAGTTAGTTAGAAACCATTTTATTCAAAGTTAGTTATTTACGAGTGTAAGCTACTCTCTAGAGATTAGTTTCTTATATTTATTATGTCATGTCTTTATTTGTTCATTAAATTTTATTCAAATATTAAACAAGGCATTTGATTTTAAAATTGTTTAAAATGCTCAGAAGCTCAATTTCTTATAAATCAAATTTAGTAGGCAAAATTGTATATACAACTCTTCTGCTAAAAATTACATTTTTAGTTAAAAAATGGCTAGAAGGTTAGAGAGTTAGTTTTCCTTTCAATCTTTAGTTGCCAACACTGAGCAGTAGCTGTTAAGCTGCGGGGCTCAAAAAAAAAACGGCTCATCCTGTTGGCAGGACTATCTGACAACTTATTGGTCCTGCTGTGGCGGCTGCATGTGTTATCCTTTTTATGTTTGGACAGCCGCAGCAGCAGGAAAACTGCACTTGTGCAACAACTATCTGCTCCCCTGCCGCTTCGCCTTTTCCCCTTTGTGTGCACTCAATTTAGCCATTTCTTGCAATTCGGCGCTTTCTTTTGGGGCTGGAAGCTGCGGTGAATCAAGCCCCCCACTGCAATGCACAGCTTTTCACCCTCCCGCAGAACCGCATCGAGAACAAATTTAATCTATTCTGAAAGTTTTCCATGTGCGCCAAGGGAGCTGCAAGCGAGTGTTGGTGGGTTGCGGACTTTTCGGGGCTTTCGTCTTGCCGAACAAGCTGCCAGAAAATGTGACAGCAACTAATTAAGTCAGTCGGGAAATTGCACTCGACATTTTCCGAGGTGGGAAAGACGGAAAAGTGTCGGTCGAGAGATTCGCGCCCGGAAAGTGGTTGCTTTAACACTTTTGGCGTGGCAAGACTCCAATGAATCGCTGCACAGACGCGGAATGAAATTGGGGTTCATTTGATGTGATTCCGATGCATTTGCCACTCATCGCATTTTCTTTGGAAAAGGTGAAAGCCACTAAAACGATTATAGTTTCATTGAAAAATTGGAGATTCTTTGGTGGAAAATATGTTGCCAAACTAAATCGTATTTATAAGGAAACACTTCAAAAATTAAAGATGTTGGCTTAAAACATACTTGAAGCTGCCTTTGGGTTTTTTGGTTCTTTGCCACCCAAGGATATAGAATAATATATATACTGGCAAGACACTTTTAAAAGTACCTCTTGAGTATTATTGTTAAATATATACCGGATAAATATATCCTTTAAAAGAATACCTCTCAAAGGTATTATTATTTGTTACCTGATGACCTTTCTAATCACCTGATTATTGGTCAAAACCAATTCCGGCTTTGTTCTATCGCATTACGCATGCGACCCCGTGGCTTAGTGTCGAATTATCAGCTACTTATTATTATTACAGTTATTAGACCCTCCCCTCAGTCACCCCCCGCTGGCCATCGTAGCCCCAATCAATGTCAGCTGTTGTCATTGTTAGCATTTTATTTGCCTTCTCGTTGGCCGGTTTCTGTGCGCTTATGTAAACCCTGAAAAGCAGACAAAAGCCTGCCAAATAGCGCAAAATTTGCGCCAATTTAGTTGTCGTTTAATTTGATGGCACAACCGATTTGGCAGGCAAAACGGCAGTGGAGGATTAGGCCGGAGCAATGGTGGCCACGTCATGAATGACCGCCCCTCGAATGCCAAGTGGAAAAATTGCTGAGGAAAGCGGTAGCTCAAAAACACAAAAAAAAGGAACAAGAACGCAAAAAATTGAAGCTTCCCATCGAAGGTTGAACGGCAGCGGAACGAAAATAAAAGTGACCAGCAATAAAATGCTAAAAGGGACCGAACATACAACAAGTATATAACACATATAGCAGAAGGACATTATAGAAATAGAATGTACAGTAAAACTTCTTTGATCCGAACCACAACTCTATTAGGAATTGAAAAGAAAGCTACAATTTTTTAACGATTCTTATAATCTCATCTCATTTCCTTTTCAAAAAATAAAAAATATTAACTACTTTACAAGATTATGGTGTTATAAAAATCAATTTGTTTTATTGGTTTCTTTGGATATTAAATATAATTATATCAATTAAGTTGTTCTTTTGTTTACTTTTATCGCTTCACTGTATATAAAACCATGAACTTCACCTTCTCCTAATATGTTTTAAAGGACATCCTAGTGCGTTGCGTGTCATTCGCATATATTTAGTGTCTCGGCCCAAAGACGAAAAATAGCGTACAAAAAGGCAGGCAACAAAATAGAGGATAGAGGGACAGAGATGGACACTAACACTCCGAATGTTCGCAAATAATGCAGACCATTACATTAATGACTGCGGCAAAAAGTCGAAAAAGCGCCAAAAAGTCCAACGTGGAGCAGACAAAACCAGGGAAAAACAATGAAAAGGAGCGAGGAAAAAGCGAGAAAATCGAAACATTATGAGGTCATTTTAATTATTTATGTGTGCGTGTGGCCGGCCTAGAAGTGCGGATAGACTTAGCCAAGGTTACGAATCCAATAGAAAACCTCGCCAGACGAAAGATTTCATTTTGTTTCGACCACTATGTTTGCCGAACTCTTTAAGCGGCTTACGACTGCGAAGGAGCTCATAACTCATGGTCTGACCCAGATATTTCAACATATTGAGTGGGTTTATTTGGCCGAAACTATATCTGGGATATGGCGTCCGTTCTTAACTGTGCGTGCTTGGAAACTTGATTTCTGCTCTGCCAAATTCGGATTTATGCTTTGTCTTCAGTTCAGCAGTTTGAACTTGCACTACGATTTATGAGCTGTTGTGTGGGAGTCAACTCCATTGGCACTCGTTTCGTTGGCAAAACATCAAGCGAAAAAAAAACAGAGATGCAAATTTGAAATACTCTGAATGGTTCCGTCTTGTTTATGCGATCGATGCTGCTGGTAAACAATGTGGAAAATTGCGCATACGTCATGTCTGCTCCTTGCCGCTTAACGACTTAAAAAAATGCCACAGAAAACGTCTCAATTTGCCATCAAAAATATATATATTCTAGCCCGTATTCAAAGGCAATTTCCTCATTTTATCTAGAAGTTATTTTAATGCAGACAAAATCCATTTTGTTACAAACTTTTTGGGCATGCACAGCGTTGACATCCTGAACATCCCCTTTTTCCTTTTTCCAACCGCCGTACGTTTGCATACATTAGCCGATTTGGCTGCTTTTCAGCCACATTATTTTGCGTTGTCGGCCATAAAACGAGTATGTGTGAACTGTGTGTGTGTGTCCATAAAGCCTTGGCAATAAATTCAGCTACATTAGCCTCGAAGGCAGCAGAGAACTTGACGAAAACAAGGTTTAATAACGATCAGAAATATAGACATGTTTAAAAATATCAAGTTGGATTTAAAAGCATTTCAATTTTAACCTTTCTTCATTTGAATAATTTTGAGTTTAAAAAAGTTATAGAATCAAAAAAATGGAAATATATACTTAAATTTTAACTTGTTGAAACAGTTGAACTACTTTTGTGTTACTTTTTTCTAAGAATATAATTAGCTGTAACCTTGATTTG